TAGCTTTGCGCGAAATTCAAAAACAAAAAACAAACAGCTAAGCTGGATCACATGGTGTTTCACGTGATCAAGTAGGTATGAATAAACAGGAGTTGTAGTGATGAAAGTCAATCACTGAGCAAGAAGATGGTTGGATATCAACGACTTCATAAGAGGTATGATAGTTGGAGCCTGTGTAACAGTGTTATACATCAAGGAAGTGTTTAAGTTAACAAAAGTGTCTGTCAGGACAGTTCCCAAGCTGTGCTTTGTTTGTTTGTTCAATTTCACGCAAGGCTACACAAAGGCTACCTGTGCTAACCATCCCTAATATAGAAGTGATAGTTTAGAGGGACTGTAACTAGCCAATATATCCACCGCTAACTTTTGGGCTACTCTACTCGAATAATGGGATTAACCATCACATTATAAAACCCCCATGGCTAAAAGGACGAGCATGTTCGGTATTGGGATTCGAACCAATAGCTGTAGATTGCGAATCGAGTGTCTTAACCACCAGACGTCTAACTCAGCCCAGAGGTAAAACATTCACTATCAAGCAGAACTATGAGCATAAAAGGGATCGAAGACAAACTAGATGAATTATGTGAAGTCGTAGGCTTGCAGCAGTCTCATGAAACTGCTCATCACTAGACAGGATCACAGCATATCGAATAGAACAATACACCTTGAATTGCACAAGTATATTTTTTCAAGCCTCTAAAAAACCCAGATACACCACCTTCAGTGGTGCCATGATGGCCAAGAATGGACTTTGGACCAATGGGAGAATTTCATGTAGTCTGAAGAATCTGACTTCAAACTGATTTGAACACAGGGGAAGGTTTCGGTATCACAGAAACCTTATGAATCATTGAAATTTGAGTGTATCATGGTAACAGTTCATGCTACTGGAGGTAGTGTAATTGTTTGGGGAATGTTCATATGGTATGGTTTGGGACCTCTTATCTTATTGGAGAGCCAGATAGCATCTACGGAGTATTTAGGATCTAGATATCGTGGCCAACCCAGTTCACCCTTTAATGCTGCTTCTGCATCCAGATAATAATGGAGTGTTTCAGGATGTCAATGCCACCATCTATTAAGTTCAAGTGGTACAAGAGTGATTTCATGGACATGGAATTGATTTCACGCATATAGTCTGACTGCCACAGCCTCCTGATGGCAATCCAATTAGGAATTTTTGGAACGTGCTTAAAACTATGTATCAAGTATTGTCTACAGCTTACCATCGTCTTTGATACAACTATTCTCAGTTCTCCCCGGAGGAACGATATCAAGTACTGTATTTACCATCTGTGGAATCAATGCTACGTCGCGTCATTCAGATCAAATGTGGTCCAACAAAATACTGGGTGGCTTTTGTAATATTTTGACAAGTGATTGTATAAGATTATTGTTGATTAGTATCAAAGAACGTAATAAAGATAACAGAATAGCTAAAATCCCTGTCATTAAGTTCATCCAGTAGTACAAACATTTAATCTACAATGGACGTCAATACTCAAGTATGGGTCTGCTAAGATCAAAGGTAGTACAGATGAAGTATGTGCAGTATAGACTAGTGAAACTTATTTAGGTATGATTATATATATATATCAAAATTGATTTTGAAATCGCAAGGAAAAACGGTTAAAACTTACTGCTCCAAACAACCGTCCAGTAGTTTCAATATTGCAAGGTTCCTGTTCTGTGGCAAAGGTCAAGATGGGAGAATCACCAATAAGTGCAAATCGACCCGGAGTTCCTGGAATTTTTTAAAATAAAACTATTCAGTGTTTTATCTCCCCCACCCTCTCCTCTGATAAGTAGACATGTGACCATAAAATACACAGAAAAATCAGTTAATTTACGTTTCAGAGAATATTTCTAATGGTAATACTTGTCGGTACATGTACTGTTATTGCAGAAATTTTGACACAGAAACTTCTGCCTTTTACATTTTGCTCTAATTTACGAGTACAATATTAATTTACAATTAACATTGCAAATTTTTGTCTTCTTTCCTCTGCGATCTATTGATTAACTGCGAGTGACTCTGTAAAAGTGAATTTCTGATAAAGTAAAGATAGTACTACGAAAACAATCACTGGTATGAGATATGAAACGAACTCACAGATTGAAGAGGAGTGGATAAGCCGAATTTTGTTGGTTTGATATAAGCTTTAAATTAGCAATTACCAGCTTCTTATGCATTAATCCTTAAGCTGCCATTCGTCTCTTAGCTTCACTAACTATGATGAAATGGCCATCTTCAACAGTGATATTTCTTTCTGTCAAGATGTTCTAAGTGCATTCCAAGGCTTTATTGAAGTGTGTTCTTTTATATGATGGAAAACTACTTGGTGGTGGAATCTAACTAATCCTTCTTTCAGTTAGGATACGTGAGTTTATATGTGGCAAATGACTGTTTGCCCTCGGGAGTAACATTGTAGAAACGAAGTAAACAATAAATCCACGGAATGCGCTTACTATTGGTTAGCACGCTCTTAAATAACGTAATGTCGCTGTTAAAGCTGGCAATTTCATCATAGTTAGTGGATCTCAAGATAAACAGGAGCTGGTGCATAGAAGCTGGTGATCGCTAATTTAAAGTCGACAATAAACAGAATATATATATATCCTCTTCTTCAATCTGTAAGATTGTTCAATATCTTAAACGTTAAAATCCCTTGAAAACGAACTTTCAAGTACCATAAACTTAGTGTTGAATTACACGTACAGCTGGCACTGAATATCCTTGCTATTAACATGTCACTAACACAGCCATAACAAGTAGACGGATGCCATGGTCTATATTTTTGTGTGTAGGACTATTGTGTAAACGATTTAATATGCTCATAAAAACGTTTTTGTTTTACTATTTTTGCACATTTAAATTCTAGGTTTGTCTGATAAACGTTAATGCAGTATTTACTTCATATTAAGGTGTACAGAGGATTGAGTACGTTTTGTTAAAACTATTTAGAGTATGCAGATTACCAAGTCAATTGAAAGTCACAGCTAATATAAAGTCGTGGTGGGATGGCATGTATCAGAACAACATTTTTGTAATGCAAAATAATGGGGGTGTTACCGAAAATTGATCGGTTTTTAGAAAGACATGTAACAACCCTTTCGCAAAGCAAAGTATTCGAACTCTAATACCATAAAAGTGTGTTTAGATCGAGGATGGCTGGGTGGTTAGGGGGCGCTCGACTCGAAATCTGCGAGTCGCGGGTTCGAATCCCCTTCACACCAAACATGCTCGCCCTTTTAGCCGTGGGGGCATTGTAAAGTGACGATCAATCCCACTATTC